GTGTGTGTGTGTGTGTGTGTGTGTGTGTGTGTGTATATGTGTATGTAACACGCCGCGTCCTATATATACGTTTATCCATACACAGTAAAGTGAAAAGGCAAAATACAAAAAGTAGGTGAGCCTCTGGGGAGCCGAAGCTCCCCAGAATAGGGATATAAATATATCGCAGGAAGTCGCAACTGGAGACTGGTCGAGGTGATCGGTAAAGGTGGTCCTGGCAATGGGGAGGAGTGCTTTTATACCCTAGGGGACAAAGATCGAAAGTTCAGTGAGGGTAGAGCGATTAAAGTTTGAACCAGGGGCAGGGATACTGCGTCATAGTAACGCAGTTGGTCTTTAATCTATTTTTAACAAAGAACAATTAATCACTATTTGGTATATTACGCTATTATGCGATAATCCTGGGGGAGGAGAAATTTGATGCTGGGGAGTAATTTTACAGATCAGTACAATTTGGCGCAGCGAAAATTTCTGCTGGAAGGATTAATATGCTTGCGAAATGCATTGGTTACACTGGGCGCTCCTTTGTTGGCGATTAAAGCAACGGATGAGCAGAAAGCAATGGACATCGCTTTGAAGTTGAGCGAACAGGCCTGCGAGGTGATCACAGATGCTGCTTATTTGCGTCAAGATCGTACTTTCGAAGAAAACCTCAACGAGAAGTTGATCGCGAAACGAAGAAGGCTTACAAGAGTTGAAGGAAATGTTTGCGTCCCTGTTACGGTAATTTTCACACTCTTTCTTGTCAATCATTTCTTTTTTTTGTACACATTCCTTCCCAGTGTCATCTTCACAGTCATTCCTGTCTTCCTCCAATCCTCGATTTTAACTTAATCAAAATGGTGTGCGGGATATCGTTGTGACAGTGGAAAAAGTAAAGTCTGATTGGGCAAGGATATAAGTATCCTTGCCTAATCGCGTGTGTATTTGGGAAGAACTGTGCAGTGCCGTTTTTCCTATCATTTACCTGGGCTGTTTTAGTAATATAAATGAAGCTGGCTTCTGTCAACTAGGAAATTTGTATATCGTTTTGAGGTATTGTGCGCGAAACCTGCGTTCAATGCTACTACAATCCGAAAAGTTGCTTGGCATCTCCTCGAGAAGTTGCGTCTGGAAAAATGGGACGA